TATTATTTAATAAATTAAAATCAATATCTACACACTAATATTTTTAAATATCCTATATAACTATTTAGAAAAAAAATTGGGTGTCCCCAACAGTTTGTTGGCTGGCTATCACCATTTCCCATGGAGTTTTCCCAAATTAGATAATTGAGCCTAAATTGATTGTTTAATTATTTACATAATATAATCCAGTGGGTCTATACCTTTCTGAAAATTTTTCAGGAAAACGAGAAGCAAATATAATTTTTTAATAAGAACAAATATAGTATTTTAAGACTTAATTAGAATATTTCCCTGTTTGTTGAAAAAAAATAAAAAATTAAATTAAATAAGCAGGGGACAAGACACGAGGTCTACTGAATAACAATGGTCAATGGAAGCAACCCTTTTTACCATATAAGCAATAACCCAGTTGGTGATTCAAGAAATCCCATTATTTTCTTTTGTAAGATAGAAAGCGGAAGACCTCAAAACCAATTAGAAAATGGAGGATAATTGTCGTTTTCAGAGGAAAAGCCTCACGGTCCAGGCGTATTGCCTCACAAATATGTAGCAGCAATCTCCAGAAGGCGTGTTCGTCTGGTACTTCCCGTTGTTTCTTCATTTTCTTTCTGTTAAACTGACTCCTAGGGAAGTTCTACCTGTGGTTCTCGGTTTTGTTTGAAAATTCAAAGTCTTTGGATTGGAGCTTCAAAGGGCTAAAAGAGTGAAAATGAAGGTTTTCTGCATTGAGGGAGCTTGAATTTTGAAATTTTGGAGAGAAGCTGGTAACTTGTTGATCATCTTCTATGTTTTATGTTCTCCTTCAAGTATTGCTTTGTGGGTCTTCTTGCTTTTTGGTTGTTATCTGGGTTTTGACTGTCATGTTGTTGGGTATTGGGTTTCGAAGGTTTTTCTGGGTACTTGAATGCATACTTGGTTTTGACAATTTCCATTTACGAACTTTTAAACCATACAATCAAAACCCAGTTCTTGTTTTGCAATCTATCTCCATCTAGAGGATAATTGTTTAGCTAATTTCTTAAAATTTGATAGGTTAATTGACATGGTTTCTGTTGAATTCTGTTTTTGTTTAATTTCCTTTATTTTCTGGATAGCTTCCATGTTTAATCTTTGTCTTTAATATTTATTTCCACATTCGGACCATAATAAAGATATTTTCATCTAAGCTGTCTCTATTCATTCTATAGTTTCTCTCTGCAAATTTGACTGGAAGTTAGTTCACATACATGAATATGAATAAGAGTCATCTGAATCTAGAAAGGTTGGTATACGCATAGGATTTATAAAAAAACGGAAAGACTGTAAAACAAGCAAGGATGAATCTTTACCCGCAACCAGTAGTGTACTTTCTGCAAAGCTTTTTCTCTTTCCCGGATGGTAAGCCGCTCTATTCTGCATAAAGAATTAAAGTCTTCTCAGGTTTCAACGTGATCAAGTGAGGTGCAGTTGTTGAATGATGAATAATTTACTATCTTTCTTCACCAGTTCCAAGTCTTGATGTGGCTACAAACTCCAGCTGCATGTCCTTATTGTTTATGCTGCTGCTTGATTCTGTTTAGGTGTTTGACTTAAAGTAGCAGATCATTTGGTGATAAACCAAAGTGTCTGAGGAATCACAAAGCGAAAACGTGACAGAGTAATGGAGCAAAATGAAATTGGTGAAGTGGAGATTGGAAGTCCATTGCCACCTCCTTGTGCTTTGACAGTTGTGGCAGCTGTCAATGGAAATAGAAAAAGCAAGTATGTGGTCAGATGGGCATTGAACAAGTTCATTCCTGAGGGAAATCTTATCCTTAAGTTGTTGCATGTCCGCGCAAGGATTACTGGTGTCCCTACACCAAGTAAGTTAAGCTTTCCACAAAATTATTCAATATGTTCCTGTGTATCAAACACCATGTAATTTGTTTGAAATTTCTCAAAACTTCAGACAGGCTTTATAGTTAATTCATTATATATTTTTGCTAATTATCCTCTACAATTTAGTGCCACATTTGGCTTATATCAGCAATTTAGCTTGACTTGCATTTAGAAAGATGAGATGTATGGGATTGGACATTAACTGAGTTACATGATTTTCCTTCTAGTGGGAAATTACATTCCTCTTTCTCAAGCACGCAATGATGTAGCAGCTGCTTATAAGAAGGAAGTGGAGTGGCAGACAAATGAAATGCTTCTTCCTTACAAGAAAATGTGTGCTCAAAGAAAGGTACCTTTTTTTTTCGTTTGAACCTAGTTAATATTGTGAACTGATACTGTGTAACAAACAACTAAAAAATAAAATTTCTTCATTATGGATGCAGGTTCAAGCAGATATCTTGGTGATTGAATCAGATGATGTGCCAAATGCAATTGCACAGGAGATTGCTAAGAATGGAATCACCAAGCTTGTTATAGGAGCTCCCAGTCGAGGGATGTTTACAAGGTATTTGCATGACATATTGGAGAAAAATGAAATCTCTATGCTGATGTTTAATAATTACAGTCAGTGTCAACTATACTATAAAAGCATCCAGTATGCACCGTTAATAATTATAGTCAGTGTATATAATTACAAAAATTGGTCATGCAAAGATTAGTTTATGTTTAAGCTATCTGTATTTTCCACTCATGTTTTGCATGCTTTTTTTAATTTTAATTTTATAGGAAGGTCGGGCAGAATAATCTGTCTTCAAGAATCTCAGTTTGCACTCCAAGCTCTTGTACTGTCTATGCTGTTTCTAAAGGAAAGTTATCATCCATCCGTCCATCTGATGTGGAGACAAATAGCAGCATTAAAGATGACTGTAGTGAAACAAGTTCTTCTAAAAGTTCATCCGGCACAGAGACAGGTAAATTATACTTCAGTTAAGGCTCCACTTTATCTGCTTATCGGTAATGTGAACAATGAGCATGGCAGCTTATTCTATGACTGGTGAGACATATTCATTTCCTCATGAGTTGCTGCATCCATAAGATAACGGCATATATTACATTATTACTCCTGCTTTTTCTGTCATGCTTCTACTTTTGGAGCCCCTTCTCTGCTACTCGTGGTTCTTCTAACATTTAGGCACCATCCCTGCGTCTGGAAAAAATTGCCTTAGTTTAAAGTTAATTTGTTGAAGTTATCTTCATCTCCCTAAGGACTCATGTAACAAAGAGCTCCTGTAACTCAGGATGACTAATTTTATGAATTATTGAGAAAGATGATGTGCACTGAGGTTGGAAGATTTTTTCTTTAATGCTTGGTGTAATTAGTGAAAGTTGTAATAGAGTTCCATCTCTGATATCCTTTTTTTGCAGACTCAAGCTCATTTGCCTCTTATGCATCATACCAGTCTTCTTCCCTACTGACACAGCGAGTTCAAGCACTTTCAACCATAAATCAAGGATATTTTCAGAAGAAAAAACATTCTTTTGACATTAACCGTTCTGGATGCTCTTCTCTGGATGTTACGGATTCTTGTCCTACAATTTCAGAAATTGGAGCAGTCAGCGGAAGATCTAGTTTCAAAAGCCTGGAAACAGACAAGCAATCTTGGATATCTGATCAAGCTTCCACATCGGATGTTGTCACAGACTGTTCTTTATCTGAAAGCCAGGTAATTTTTTCATTTTTATTTAATAGGCATCACAGTTGCATTTGATTGGAACATTAGAAAAGGACCTTATATTAGCACATGCTTGGCATTGACTCGATCCTAATTGAGACATCCACTCTTCTTGCTGGTAATAAAATCTTGTATCTAAAACCAATAAGAAGTGCAAAATTTATTTTATTGGTAAGTTCATTTCATTTTGTTTTTATTTTTGTGGTCTTTAGGATACTTACTTAGGGTTCTGCCATATATGCAGGTAGAAATTAACTCTGAGCTAGAAAAGCTGAGAATTCGACTCAGGCATGTTAGAGGGTTGTATGCAATAGCTCAAAGTGAGATGATTGATGCTTCCCGAAAGGTTAGTTTTTTCCATTTGTTTGATGTTCCTATGGATCTGAGACTTCAGATTAACAATGTCAACTTGCTACCATTTGGAATCATTCTACTGAGCTCTTTCCAACTACGTTTCCCAACAATAATTATACTGGGAGAATCTTAAAATGATCTTCAAATTTACTGGTTCAGGAGTTCTTCACAATGTTACAACTTACAAGTTATTTCATGGTTTTTATTAGCTTCATGCTCCAATGGGGATTGGGGAAATAACTTCTACAGTATGGTGTGTGATCAAGGGAACTTTTTGCAATTTCACACTTTTCTGTCCTTTTTACCTGTGAGGAAGCTATTAATATGATCTGGCTACTGTTTTCCCCAGCTTGGTACACTGGATAAACGTTGGCATGAGGAATCAATGAAACTTCAGGAAATAAGCTCTATGGAGAAGAAAGCCAAGGACTTAGCTAGACAAGAAAAGGAGAATTATGAAGCTGCAAAAAGGGAAGCTGTGTATATGAAGGATTGTGCTGACAGAGAAGCTTCACAAAGGCGAGAAGCAGAGATGAAAGCAATTCATGAAGCCAAAGAAAAAGAAAGACTTGAGAATGCTCTTGTGGGTCATGCACAGCAATGGCAGGAGTTCACATGGGAAGAGATTGTCTCAGCCACTTCATCATTCTCAGATGATCTTAAAATTGGAATGGGAGCATATGGAACTGTCTATAAATGCTATTTGCATCATACAACTGCAGCAGTGAAAGTTCTCCGCTCTAAGGATGGTCATAACATCAAGGAATTCCAGCAGGAGGTACATAAATTTCCTCAATTAAAAGAGAAGAATCCAATAAATAGTTCATTGACATAGAACAACAGCAGTATACAACTGAAATTGCCTTTTCTTCTATAAGATAGACATGTCCAACCTTCAGAACTCAGGCCTGGAAGTGTAACTAAAATACTTATGCTTTTTTCTCCTGTTTCAGCTAGAAGTCTTAAGCAAAATTTACCATCCACATATGCTTCTTCTTATTGGTGCATGTGTTGATCAAGGTTGCCTTGTTTATGAGTATATGGAAAATGGTAGCTTGGAGGAGAGGCTGCTTCAGAAGAACAACACTCCTCCCATCCCATGGTTTGAGAGATATCGTATTGCTTGGGAAGTAGCCTCAGCTCTTGTCTTTCTTCACAACTCAAAGCCTAAACCCATTGTCCATCGTGATCTGAAGCCAGCAAACATATTGCTTGATTATAACTTTGTTAGTAAAATTGGAGATGTTGGACTTTCCACAGTGCTTAATTCAGAGACTGGTTCCATATCAACTGCGCAAAAGGACACTGGACCTGTTGGAACACTCTGCTATATAGATCCTGAATACCAAAGAACCGGGCTGATTTCTCCAAAATGTGACGTGTATGCCTTTGGGATGGTAATTTTGCAGTTGTTGACCGCAAAACCAGCAATGGGACTAGCACATGTGGTGGAAACAGCAATTGATAATGGTAAATTAATAGAGATTTTAGACTCAGCAGCTGGGAATTGGCCAATTGAAGAAACAAAGGAATTGGCTCTACTTGGTCTAAGATGTTCAGAGCTTCTGCGCAAGGACAGACCTGATTTGAAAGATCAAGTGCTTCCTGTGCTGGAAAGACTAAAGGAGTTTGCTTGTAGAGCTCGAGAATCGGTTCCTGATTTTCAATCTACACCTCCTAACCATTTCGTTTGCCCAATACTTAAGGTATGCATATATAATCTTGAACTCCCAAGTTCATAAACTTAAAACAAAATAAAAGCAATGAAGAGGAAGCAAATATAAGGAAATAGCTTGTCATTTCTTCTGTTATGCTTGCAATTCATATTGCTACTACAACTTTATATTGCAATAAAATTTGGTATTTGTTAGAAGGTACTGATTAACAACACGAAATGTCCCTTTATTTTTTTTATTCTTGATAATGACATGAGATTTCCACTTTTTGTCTGCAATTTTTGTGGTTGATGATGGTCTCCTCTCCTTCAAGTCCTGCATCTGATTGATATCTGCACCTCCATCATTTCTTTTGCAGGATGTAATGAATGACCCTTGTGTTGCTGCTGATGGCTACACCTATGAGCGCAAAGCAATTGAGAGATGGCTTGAGCAGAACGACAGATCACCAATAACAAACTTGGCATTGCCAAATAAGAATCTACTACCAAATTACAATCTCCTTCACGCAATCATGGGGTGGAAGTCCAGAAAAGAATGACAATGCATCTTTATCTTCTGCTTTGCTGCGGAATTATTGTTTTATCCATGGCAAGTTTAGATGCTTCCATCTATTAGTAGTATTTTAGTTGCTAGTTTCTAGTTTAAACAAGTAAGCAACTTTAACTATGCATAGATTCTATAGCAGAAACATAGGTCTAGAACTGTAGAGAAATGCTGATGCCATTTGTATGTAATTCAAGCCTCTAGTCTATAACACTGTAAAGTCATAGATTCAAGAAACGAAGCATGTGTGGCAGTGTAGTACCTCTTGTTGTTCAGGTTTTAGGAGGTCAGCGGAGGAAGATTTTTGTAAGAAAATCAGGAGGGAGTGTTGAATTTTTTATGAGAATGAGATTGCTTCTAGGTCAAGGAAAGCATGTTTGATTGCAAAATTTTAACCCACACGGCTAAGGTTTTTTTTTTTTTTTTTTTTTAACTAATGTGCTGTGAATCTTATAGTTTGGAGACAAATCTTTATTTTTTTTTTTTTGAGTGAAAGTAACATTAATAACTATTACCACCCTGTCCACCACCAGTTGTATTTTGTATGAGAGCAGATAGGATAGCAACACCTGCTTTGTGTACCCAAGGAGAAAGTTTGCTGTATCTGGGGGATACTGTTAACGTGGTATCCCGATCAATTACAGTATGTCACATTATCAAAAAAAATTTTCACCTCATTAGTCATGTGAGTTCACTTAATAGTAAAAATGATGATGTGGTACGTAGTGATTATTCGGGATACCACTGGCGTGGTATTCTGGGGATACAGTAGAATTTTTCGTACCCAAGGGCCAAGGTACAGCATTTGTAAACAGGTTGTAATTTAACTCCATGTGGTATGAGCTAAAAATACATAAATATCTAAAATTTTAAAATTTGTGTGTAATATATTTTATAATTTTAGGTATTGCATAGAAGATTTTTAAATGTGCATATAAATTCTTAAAATTTGTATTAAATTTGTATTAAATATAAATAATGACTTAAATTTTTTTTGAAATATTATTTTGAAAATCCTTAACTTAAAAGAATAAAAAAAAATAAAGATACTTAAAACATTTCATATATCCGTTACAAGCTCCGGATACGAATACTAAGTGGATAAGTGAACATCACCCTGCTCTAGCTCCTTTTGTCCTCTTCCCCACCGTCCCTATTGTATTAGAAAAAGAACAAAAGAATTTCCTTCTTTTTTTCAAAGAAGATTATATGTAATGCCACATTTTGATATCTTTCACAAGTTACTATGGGTTTGAGATTTTAAGGAATTTTCTTTTTGAAAAATCATAACTTCAAAAACTTGAAAAAAAAAAAAAAATAGTATGATGGTGTTATTCTTCCTTTGACTTGAAAGGTTTAGAATTTGATTCTTTCCACAATCTTCGTAATTTTCATTCTTTTCTTCTTCTTTTTTTTTTTTCTTTTTTTTTTAAGACTAAATTTGAGATTAGTTTGGACTTGAGACTAGGCCAGGAGCGTCGACAGATTTGGGTCCAAAATTAGGCCTAACATGGGTTGGAGTTGGACAAATCATAATCCAACTACAGCTAGGCCAGCACAAGGGAGCCCGATAGCATGTGTAAATTGCGAGGCATGTGTCAATTGTTGTAGTTTTTTCTTTTTCTTTTTCTTTTTCTTTTTTGAACTGGAGACATTTGTAAAGACTCAAATGGTGGCTAGCATCTTAAATAATACTTCGCTAGTAATTTTTTTTAGTAAAAATAAAAAATTTTAAATTTATTAATAATTTATTGATTTAAATAAAAAAATTAATTTTTTAAAAATAAAATCTCAAGTTTAAATATTATAAATGAAGAGATAAATATTAAAAGAGTTTTTTCATTTATGAGGTTCAATCTCATTTTACTTGTTTTTCAAATATTATGAGAAAAAAAATTTAAAATTAAATTACATGATATATAGATAAAATGAGTTAAAAAATAAAAAAAAATTTATTTTTTATTATATAATTTAAGATTAAAAAAAAAAAACTCAAATCTTAACCACTTACCAGTCTCCTTAGCACATTTTACAATTTCCATTAACACAATATCACTTTGTATAATCATGATTATAATAAATTTCAGTAAATGTCAATATTTTTTTTTTTTTTGACAATCCATTAATCAAATATGCATCAAGATTTTAAATCGATTTGAATATTAAAAAAAAAAAAACTCAAGTCTTAACCACTTACCAGCCTCCTTAGCACATTTTACAATTTCTATTAACATAATATCACTTTGTATAATCATGATTATAATAAATTTCGGTAAATATCAAAATTTATTTTATTTTTTGACAATCAATTAATCAAATATGCATTGAGATTTTAAACTGATTTGAATATTAAAAAATAAAATTTATATGAAAAAAA